CGGTACTTCCGGTAACCGAATCGACTTCCGGTGCTTATATTCGTGTTCAGCGACCGCGAAAACATATGTGGCCATACCCCGCTTGGCCTACCATCGCTCGCCATGGTGCCTGACGGCCGCGTATGCAACGCGTTCGTATGCAAGAATCCGGGACAATATAAGCAGAGAAAAATGTGCGGATCACCCGCCCTGTATTTTTGATGGGAAAGAGAACCTACCTGATGCAGAGTCTACAGTTTCCAGAGTTTTTTCCGCCAAAGAAGTATCAAATTGGAGAACTTGGTCGTAACTAATACAGTGCCCTGCTCTGTTGAAAAGCTGTACAAGGGACTTGTTTCTGGTCTCCTTATGCAAAGTAATTCCTAAGCCAATATGCTTTGGAGTTAGCTTTCTACCACCTCCTGAGATGTATATCATATCTTGGGCAACTGACAAAATCTTCAAATCTTTAAGTGAAGTCTCAGTATCACTCGAAATGGTGTTGCCGTTTTCATCCATACAATTTTCAATCTGCTGAAGGCTGTCCTTACCCCCCAACAAAATACTTAAAAACATGTGCAGATCTTGCGGAACAAGGGCTAAAGCATCGCTCTTCTCCACGTTTGCACCAGCATGACCACCAACACTTTCCAGTGTGCTTCTCAGTCTAAGAGCTGTGTGCACGATGGCGTTGAAGTCGCTGTTTTCTGGCGGACTGTAAGGTGGCATTGTGCATTCATCGTCTCCATAGGCAGCCTTCACAGTCAGAGCATGGGAAAATCTGCTGGGAATCAGAAGTGTTTCGCGCTCAGCACTTGTTCTGTCCATCGGGTGATAAAATTCAAATACACCTTTCAGTCGATGCTCTAGGTCACGCTTAAAAGATGACATTCTTGATATGTATTGAGCTGGGACTTGTTCTCCAATACCCGCGCACAGCGTGCTGTATCTTTTAAAAACAACCGAAATTCGGAGAACCTGTAGCAAAAAGAGGCATTTAAATACGGTTGTGAAAACCATGTAAAATATATTGCGTACTTTTACAGGGTAGTTGTTCTAAGCCGGCCTTTTTCTGCTGTATACTGTAACGCATGCAGGTGTGCGGTTCGGCTTGCCGACTGCCTCTCCCCATGGCGCCTAATAGCCCCGTGCGAGTATGCAATCCGTCCGCACGCCTGCATGCGGTACAGTGCAACCAAAAAAAAGTCGAGGAGTTATCGGCGGGCTCAGGACACAATCTCTAGTGCTACACACATGAAGATAAAGTACGTACCTGCGATTTGTCTGCAGCATCTCGTAGTTCGTAGCAAATTTTGTCTAGTGCCAAATGGACAGGTCTACTTTGCGTGCTACCGTCAGACTCCTTGATTTTCCTCTCCTCTTTTCGCAAACAGTACGTGTGATACATAACGTCACTAGCAACAGCGTCGTGGCCACATGCGACTCTTCGTCTCAAGTCATAATTATAAAAGGATAGTATTTTAATCTTCTCGCAAAGTGCAAATGTTGCTGCTTTTCTGATATTCTTTTCGTCTCCTGGCGTCTGTAATAAAACGAACAAAATTATATACTGAATAGAGCAGATTAGCATTTATGAGCATTTAGTGCGTAACACAGAAAAGACTGGCCACACACGCAGACGTGTGGGGCCATCGACGTGGCCAGCCGAGGAATCCTTCATTAAAAATACAAGCGTACCCC